CTCCCCTATAGGTTGTGGGGATGTGCCATCACTCCTTTCAGCTCTGAAATCCTCTCATCTGCCCTTGGCAGAAATCAGAGCCTGGTCACACTGGACCTGGGCCAGAATTCCTTGGGGTATAGTGGAATAAAGATGCTGTGTGATACCTTGAAACTTCACTGTTCCTCCCTCCGAACACTCAGGTATGATCCTCCTGCTGTTCAGTGTTTTTCCTCCATGATGGTAGGTTTGCAAGGGGAGCACAAACCACAGGAATTGTTGTAGGCAACTACTAATAATATTCAGCCTTCATCCATTAATGTTTGGTCACCTGATAATTCTCCCATTGGTCTCTTCTGTTGCTTTAGCCAGTAAGATGAGCCAAAGGAGGGATGCCTGGGTGGCTCAGCGGTTGAGCACCTGCCTTCAGCCCAGGGTGTGATCCTGAAGTCCTGGGATCAAGTGCCACATCGGACTCCCTGCATGGAGTCTGCTTCTCTGCCTATGTCTCTGCCTCTCTCTCACTATGTCTCTCATGAAAAAATAAATCTTAAAAAAAAAAAGATGAGCCGAAGGATGAGACCCAAACCTAGTCTGAAGTCAAGAATCTGGACTAGGACTTCTCTAAGAGAATGAAGAGTTATGGTGGCCAGCCATTGTCATGTTAGGAAAATCAGACTGCAGCTCTCCTGCAGTATTCTGAAAAAGAGTTTGTGTTGGGGCTGTATTAGTTACAGAGGTCTAGCAATTGGTCCACCTTAAAGGCATGTTCTGTGGAGTGAGTCCACTGTTGAATGAAAGGAGTCTGTTCTCTGTTGTTCATCAAAGCAAGTTGCTATTGACCTGTTGTCTACTTGCTACCATGGCAACAAAGAACAGTACAACTTTTCTTGGTCTTACCCAAGCTTGCTTAAATACTCAGATGCAAAAAAGCAAACAAAAAAAAAATACTCAGATGCAATGTAGACAACCAATGGCTTGAAATGATAATTATGTAGAAGGAACAGATTCTATATGTACTCAACAGGTAGCTTGCTAGTTAAAAGAAGGGATTTATAGACTCTGACATTTGTTTCTGTTTAGCCCCTTTTTGGTGAGCTAGTCCTCTCACTTTATGTAATATCAGTGACTTTTAATCTAGGTGTAAAGCCCTAGAGACAATATTGTAGCTGTTTCTTTAGATGTTCTTTCCTGAGTCTTTGAATCTCAAAATGAGCCATTCAAGGGCAGGGGCGGGAGTGGGGGGGCCTTCCTGAATCACAGATCCTTTACAGGCATGAAAATCCTAGATTCAGAATTTGATTTTTAGTTCTTTGACTTTTTCATCTACCCCGTATCCTTCTAAGATATTCTTTTAAGTTAACTGGAGTCTTTTCCTCTTGCTTGGAATCAAAGAGCCCTACCATCATACCTCATTCTTAGTCCTGGTGTGGTTCACACCCTGTTTCTGATTCCTTTATCACTTGACCAGACACAAATTGACTATAGGAACTAATCCTGTGCTTCTACAGCAGACCATGACCAACCTCCAACAATCACAAATAGACACAATTGCATCTGACCTTGGAGGGTCATGTTGAAAATATTTTGAAGCTCGTTGGTCCTTACTTTAAGTGAAGTTATTTTTATTGTGATTTTGGTATATGTAAACATTGTAACATTATCACCATAATCAAGTTAATTAATACATCCATCACTTCATATAAGTTACCTTTTATGTATATGTGTGTGGTGAGAACACTTAAGATCTACTATCCTAGCAAGTTTCAGGTATACTTGTCAGTATTATTGTCACTGTGCTATACATTAGACCTCTGGAATTTCTAACTGAAGGTTTATTGTGTGGATATTTTATGAATCTTAAACAGCAAAACAAAAATTAATTAATATTCTAGCAAAACCAGGGCACCTGGCTGGCTCAGTCAGTAGAGCATGTGCTCTTGATCTCAAGGCCATAAGTTCAAGGCCCACATTGGGTGTAGAGATTACTTTAGAAAAAAATATATATATATATCCTAGCAAAACCAGAACTATAATGCCAACAAGAAACATCACAGCTAATATCTTCAATCTCTTACTTTTATACATATTTTCCTTTAATCCCTCTTGCTTTGTCCTCACCCTGTTCCCCATCTCCATATCACAGAGATGAATACCAAAAGGTGAATTCCACAAATGAGGCTGCTATTATCACAAGTCAAATAAAAGGTATTGGTCAGCTATATCATGTAGCCAAGGGGGGACAAAATCTGGTCTGACTGCCTTGGTTCACGAGTGTGTGTCTTGTCCTGGGTCCACGAAATAGAAGTTACCAAAGGGAGCTGTGTAGTAGGCAGGTATTAGAATTAAATCCTGGATGTATCAATCAATTCCATCTCTCCAAACATGATACGAGATCACCCAGATCATCCAACCATGCAAAAGCATTACAACATTAACCTGGTATTCTCTCTTTCCCTACCAAATCAATATGGGACCCTGCTTTGCAGCATACAGTAATCAGTAAATATTGCCCCTGCCCCTGCTCTAAAGTATGAGACTTGCAGGCACTTGGGCATTTGGAATGAATCTCCTTGAAGCCTTGAAGACAAAATAAACCTTCCTTTTGTCCCATTGTAACTCCAGGTTGAAGATAGATGAATCTGATCCTCGAATCCAGAAGCTGCTAAAAGAAATCCAAGAATATGACCCACAACTGACCATCGAGAGTGATGACCAAGATCCAACCAATAACCGGCCTTCTTCACATGACTTCATTTTCTGAATCCCCTGGACTTATTCCTTCCCAAGTAAAATCCAGGATCATCAACATGATGGTGAACTTCCTCTGAGCCCTCTCAGTGATGTTATGTGCTGGGCCAGATGTTACTGTATCCCTGGTTGTGCCTCAGCTTCTATGAAACATGCACAGGTGGTTTACTTACCCCTATTATGGACAGAATGCCTATATCTTGAGTCTATCAAGAGCAATAAAGGTGTGAATGCATTCATGAAGGAGGTTCTTTATTAATGGATTCTGACCAAACATAGACAGAAAAATACTTTATTTGGGGAGAACCTAACACAGAAGGAAAAACAGGGACGGAAATGTTTGTGATCGCATTGGTCTGTCCACCTTGCCAGTCACTGCCCAGTTCTGGCATTCCTTGATCTGTGTGGGTAGCTGCCTGATGGTCTTCCTCAGTATTTCTCCTACCAATCCTACAACAGTTTGTAGCATTCTTAAGTGCTTCATTGAAGCCCATATATGATCATTTCTTTGCTCTGATCAACTTTTTAGTAATTCCAACCTCAGGGTACTGGGTGGCTCAGTTGGTTAAGCATCTGCCTTCCGGTCAGGTCATATCTCAGAGTCCTGGAACTGAGCCCCACATTGGGCTCCCTGCTCAGCAGGGAGTCTGTTTCTCCCTACCCTCTGCCACTCTCCCTATTCTCTCTCTCTCTCTCTCTGTCTCTCTCTCTCTCTCTCTGTCTCTCTCCCTCTCTCCCTCTCCCCCTCTCCCCCCCTCAAATACAATCTTTTAAAAAGGTACTTTAAAAAAAATAGTCCCAACCTTATAAAAAGCATAGCTCCATGGCATGCACAGCTCTCCCCCCGCCCCTAACCACTTACTTCCTTATGGTATACAGAATCCCAAAAGTCTGCACAACAACTGTAAGAATCACTTTGTTAGGCACTAATTTTTACATTTTTCTCCCTGTCATCCTACTTCCCCTTCTTCACTGGGATCCATTGGTTCATCATTCTCACCAAATACACCACATTCCCAGACCTCCCCTTCAAACCTCCCTTTAACAGGCTCACGTGCCATCATCTCCCTGATGTCCCTGTGTACAGTATGGGCTCCCAGGTTTTCCTACAATTTCCTATTTCTCGAGACCTCTTGTTCAGCTGAATATAGGTCTTTCCTAGAGATATTCTCATTCTTATGGTCTGAGGGGTGGTGGGTGCCTTCAGTGGGAGTGGGTCAGGTTGTTAAAAGAAAAAATAAAGGCACATAATTTTTTGAAGGCTAGGAAGGAATTTCAAGGTCTTCTAAGAGTTTAAGTCTCTGCTATTGACACTTGGGGCCAGATAATTTTTTTGTTATCTTAAGCATATCAAAAGAATATACTCTTGAGAGAGTGCCCTGTGCATTCATAAAATGTTACCCTCTACCTACTAAATCCCAGCACCTCCCTCCCCCAAAAATATCTCCAGGTGCTGGCAAATATCCCTTGAATGCAAATATCCCAATGTTGCCCCTTTTAAGGGAAAAGAAATCGAGTAGCCTCCCTGCATCAATTTAGGAATGGATACTCTGCCCATTTTACCTGTGACTTAGAGATTCTGTGAGGGTGGTTATTAACTATAGAGCAAGACAGGAGGAGGATGTGGCCATAAATTGATGAAACCAGAGCCCATGTCTAAGGAAATGGCATTTGGGATCAAAGGGTAAGAGAAAGGTATCCTCAGGGTGGGGAGATATGATAGAGCAAGGCCTCAGAACTCACACATGTCACCAAATGTTTCTGGTTAGGAGAGAGGCTGGGCTGATAGGCTCAGGAAATGAATACTAGTCTGAATTAACCAGCTAAGCTATGGGTTAGGTTCGTGGATACACAGAAAAAAAAACAAAAAATACTGGAGCCTACAGGGAACCATGGGAGTGTTTTGTGCAGAGGATAGAACAGGGTCATCCATGAGGCTTGGGGATACAGAGGTCAATCCATAACATGTATTAGGAAAGGCTGAAGAGGTCAGTATGATGGTCCAGTTAGGTTGCCATAATATCTGTGATGTGCAAGCTATGAGTGAAAGGATGCTGGCATCCATTAGATACTCCCTATCCCAAATGAACAGAGTCCTTGGACAGAAAACCAAATAGACACCAACAACTCCTTTATGGGGCATCACGGAGAAGACCCGTGACCCTCCTTCTCTACAGTCATAACCCCTATCTTCCTGCTCTTATATTCCACACACTCCAAGCATGGTCTTTACACTCCCTACCTCATAGATACAACCAAGCCTTGAAGTTCTAATGGTGGGACCCATGGTTATGACCATCTGGTCGACCCCCATCCTGATGACTGTGTGGTTTCTGGGTCTGTGGGAGGGGTGGAAGTGGCCTGTGGACAGCTCTGACCCGGAGCAACAGGGGTTTCTTTCTGCTGTGCCAATCTTCTGCCAGAATTCCCACCAGGAGTATTAGAATCACAGCTCCAAGGCATATCCGGACCAGATTGCCCTTGGTGTAGTGTTGGTGAGCAAGACCTGGAAGAATGAAGAGAGACAGGAGCAGGTGACAAAAGCCTATCTCCAGGACCCACTTCAAGGTGCATCTTGAGCTTCCATTAGCCATATCTCTCATTTGAGGTCCTATTATTCTCTGCTATCTAGAATGCCAGTCTCCTTCCTAGAGGGTTCCTCCCCTCCTCACCAAGGATCTGGGCTAGATAAGCCAAATTCTCTAAATATCACTTCCACACACCCTCATGGGCCTCTGATGCAACCCCTCCACACACACACAGACACTACCTGGTTATTTGGCTAATTGCATTAAAAAAAACTGTCATAAGGGGCAGATAAAGAGATGGAATTTCTCTTTCCCTGATCCTTTGGAAATTCTCAACCTTCCCACCTGATCTTATTGCCCAATTCTGAGTTCCAAGTGCTTATATTTACCCTCCCCTTAATATTTTATATACCAGGACCCAAAATCAGAGCTATAGCCTCTGCACAGGGGTGAGAATGAAGAGGGTCCAGAGAGGACCACTTACTCACCAGTTGGAGAGTCTGACCCCTTTGGAGAGACAGTGATAGTCCTAGAAGGCACTGGGAATCAAAAAGGAAAGTATAAAGGAGTAAGACCATCTCCCATACCCCGTTCCTGCCCCATCCCGAACACGTGCCCTTGTGAGGCAGAATCCCATGACTATAAGAGGAGCATAAACTACAGAGTTGGGCATCTAGATTTCAACCCCAGATCTATCCCTAATTAGATGTGGGGCCTCTACCAAATGACTTAACATCTATGAGCCAGTTTTCCCATCTGTAAATGAAAATAATTATAATACATCACAGGTTAATGTGAAATTTAAATCAATAGCAATAATAACAGCACAAGGCACAGTTCTTGACATATGATAAGCATCCCACACGTGGCAGCTTGCGTCTCATTCCAAAAGTACCTCCAGAGACTTACCAGGTGTTCAGCCATATGCATCAGACAGGTGCATATTTTAATATACTGTGAAAATTGCCATAACAGGCAGTCCATAGGACAGAGGAAGCTATACAACCCAGTGTCATAAAAGGCTTTCCTGAGAGACTGAGGCCATGAGGAAATGGAAGGAAAAACAGAGCAAGTGGCTTGGATGCAGAATCAGGAAAAGATGCCAAGGATCCAGAGAGCTTTATCTGACTCTGTGTGGCTAAGATTTGCATGAGGAATGAAGACAAGAGGATCAACTGTGTCTTGGATGAGCAGTGGCTGATCTAAGGGCATTGGGCCTAAAAGCATTGAATATCAAGCTAAGAAACCCTGGCTACTCTGACCCAGCAATTGCACTGCTGGGGATTTACCCCAAAGATACAGATGCAATGAAATGCCAGGACACCTGCACCCCAATGTTTATAGCAGCAATGTCCACAATATGTGGAAGGAGCCTCGGTGTCCATCCAAAGATGAATGGATAAAGAAGATGTGGTCTATGTATACAATGGAATATTACTCAGCCATTAGAAACGACAAATACCCACCATTTGCTTCGACGTGGATGGAACTGGAGGGTATTATGCTCAGTGAAATAAGTCAATCAGAGAAGGACAAACATTATATGGTCTCATTCATTTGGGGAATATAAAAAATAGTGAAAGAGAATAAAGGGGAAAGGAGAAAAATGAGTAGGAAATATCAGAAAGGGAGACAGAACATGAGACTCCTAACTCTGAGAAACGAACTAGGGGTGGTGGAAGGGGAGGTGGGCAGGGGGTGGGGGTGACTGGGTGGCAGGCACTGAGGGGGGCACTTGATGGGATGAGTACTGGGTGTTATTCTATATGTTGGCAAGTTGAACACCAATAAAAAATAAATTTATAAAAAAAAAGAAACCCTGGCTATATCCTAAGGTTGACTGGCAACCCAGAAGTATTTTGAACAGAGGATGGCAAAGAATCTCATCAGAGTTTTAGAATTTGCTGGCATCAGGAATCTAGCAGAAAGCTAGAGTCAGGTGGACCCAGTGGAGATATCAGAACTATCCTCAGGGGATCTGTCAAGGTTTTCTGTCTTGAGGAAAATTGATACTTTTCTAAGAAAAGGAAGGGGAAAGAGAGCTACAGCATGAGGGAAGTATGTTGCACAGAACTGCAGGAGTAAGAGGAGGCAGTGAGCAATAGGGGACAAAGCTTACACACATGGATCAGAGCAAAGTCAGAATAGCAGCGTGTAGGAATGAGCAATGGTCTTTCCCATCAGCCCCCTGGCTCCACCATCTTTGAAATGGCACATTATCCAGAAACCTTATCTGTCTGCACACTCAGAGCTCACCTCCATCCCATCCTTGATCCTCAAACCAAGGACTTTATTTGGAAGAGTCAAGTTATCTCCTGAAGCCGACTTAAAGCCTACGGCCTTAGATGATGAGAAAGAAATCTATCTACATACTCCTTTCTACTGGGTTCCGAGTGCCTGATTACTCACCAATTGTGGAGCTCTTGTTGAGGTGCAAGTTGCTCCGTTTTCTGGAGGCTTCTGGGAATTCTAAGCAAGAGTGTAATGAAAACATGGATAACATTAGATCTTCCCAGTGAGTCCCTACTCTGCATATCCTTTCTGAGCTGTCTGGGAAGCCCAGAACCCCTTTCTCTGGCACACACTGCATGAACACTGAGGAGAGACAAAAGCAGAGGGCTATAAGACATGTTCTCTTCTATCTCTCAGTGGGTGCATAAGAAATGGATCCATTCATCCACTGATGGACATTACATTATTTCCTTTTTGGGGCTACTATGAATAATGTTGCCATGAACATTTATACACATTTTTATGAACATGCATTTTTTAATTTCTTAATTTGGGGGGAGCATATAGCTACAAGTGGAATAGCTGAGTCCTGTGATAATTTTATGATATGGTCATAGGATATTCTTTTGAGGAAATGCTGAACTGTTTTCCACAGCAGCAACACGATGTTTCATTCCCATCAACAATGTGTGAGGGTTCCAATTTCCCCACATCCTCAACAATACCTGTTGTTGTGCTTTATTATTATTATTACTATTATTATTATTATTGCCATTCTGGTGGGTGTGATGAATTTCATGGTTTGTGACATATCTAAATTTAAAAAATAAGTAGAGGTGCCTTGGTGGTTCAGTTGGTTAAGCATCTACCTTCAGCTCAGATGACGATCCCATGGTAATGGATTGAGCCCTGAATCCAAGCCCCTGCTCAGTGGGGACTCCATCTCCCTCTCCATCTCCCTCTGTGATCTCTCTGGCTCTCATTCTCAAAGTGAATCAGTATATCTGTACAAGCTCAGTGGTTTATGCCATCTTCTGAGTATAAGAGGCTCCCCTCCTAACTAAGGCCATTTTCTTAACCAGGGACTGCCCTGGTTACATGGGCACCAAAACATTTCCTAAAAACCTTCAACCTATAAATATGTAGCTCCTACCAAGAGTGGGGACTATCTTGGTGGGCCTTTTTATGTTAAAGCCAGCTCATCAAAGCCTACCTATCTGTGGTATAATAAGAGCTTGCATATTATTTGTTCTGTTATTTCTCTTCCTGTAAGTCTCATTTATAAATTTTGTTTGAGGGGCACCTGGATGTCTCAGTCCATTAAGTGTCCACCTCTTGGTTTCCATCAGGTGATGATCTCAGGGTTATGATATTGAGCCCTGTGTGGATCCACACTGACCAGGAAGCCTGCTTAAGGTTCTCTCTCTCCCTCTGCCCCTATCCACATCACATGCATGCACTTTCTCTTCTCTTACTCTCTCAAAAATAAAAATAATAATAATAATAAATAAATTTTTGTTTTGAATTTAGATTAAACATGAGATGGTACATGTAAACCATGGAATACCACTCAACCAAAAAAGGAATACATTATCGATGCACACAATAACTTGGATGGATCTCAAGGGCATTGCGCTGAATGAGAAAACCCAATCTCAAAAAACATGCTAGGTGAATCTTTCCACTGATATATATAACACTGTGAAAATGACAAAATTAAATAAAGAACAATTAATACTTGTCAGGAGGTAGGAACTGTAGGAGGGGAGAGGGTAGATGTAACTATAAAGGGGTATCCTGAGGGTAATGCTCATGGGGATGGAGTAGTGGAGGAAAGTAGTGGTTACATGGATCTACACATGTGATAAATTGCCATGGAACTAAAGACAGAAGATAGCAGAAGAGTAGAGGTCCTCAACTCACCTGGTCCCACCAACTTACCTAGATAACTTTCAAAACATCCTGAACACCTACAAATTCTACCTGAGATTTAAAGAGAGAACAGCTCGAATGCTACAGAGAGAAGGGTTTTCACTCCTAGCAAGGTAGGAAGGCGGAAAAATACATACATACATAAATACATAAATAAATAAGAATCAAGCATGGAGGGGTGACGTGAAGAGCCAGGCTAAAGTAAACCTGGGCAGCCAAAGCTTCCAGGACAGGAGGACAGGAAAGCCCAGCCCTGGAGAAGTGGAAATTTTAAAAATCTGTGCTGGATTCTTCCCAGACAGAAACGTGTTTAGCAGGAAAATCGGGCAGAATTACAATAGAAGCAGTGAAGCCTTCAGTTTCCCAGAGCCACTAATAGCACTGCACCCAGGAAAGTGCACCACAAAATATGGACTGATCTTGGTAAAGACCTGGAGGGCACAGCCCCCCCCCCACGTTTGGGAGAAGCCACTTGGTTAGGTGGGTGGCTCCAGATGGAGGTGTCTGTGCCCTGCTGCCTTCCGGAGCCACGCACCCCGGGAGCGGGATTCCAGCAGCACAGGCCCTGACCCCAGGGCACAAAGCCGACAAAGCCCATGATCCTGTGTTCCCCCAGGGACAGGTGGAAGCGAGGAGGACATAGGACATCCAGAACTCTCCTGCCACTGGGTGCCCTGCAAGCTGTGCCAAGATCAGAGCACCCGCGCCGGCCCCTGGAGCATCCAGGCCAGTGCGGACTGGGAGGTGGCCCTCATTTGTTACTAGTCCTCATTAGTTACTAGTGAGGAGCTGACTCCAGAGCTGGAAATCTGGCCGCTGCCGTTGTTATTTTTTCCTCCTTGTTTCACCATGTGCCTGGGAGAGACGGGGTCACCAGGGAACAAAGACCTCAAGGATAAACATCTCCCACTGAGCCAGGCATCTCCACGCAGGCACACACGCAGGCCCACACGCCTAAGAATCAGCACAGCAGACCCCTCCCCCAGAAGACCAGCTCGAAGAACAGGGTAAGAGCAAGTTCTTCACCAAGCAGCTCTGGAAAGTTCCAGGGGAAGTTGAGGGATTTATAGTATATAGAACTAGAGTACCCTTCCTTTTTCCTCCTTTTCCAGTACAACTCATTTTTATATCAGTCTTAATATTTCCAATATTTTTTCTCTTTTCCCACCTTAACTACAATATTTTACCACCTCTTCATTTTTAAGTTTCTTCCTTTTTGACTTTCATATTTCTACAATTACATGTCTTAAATATCTTTTCCATTTCTAGATTCCCTTCAACATACTCAATTTAATTTTGGGAAATATACAAGATATGGCTTTTTGTTTTGTGTTTTTGTTTTCTCTGCTTCATTTGGTTCTACAATGCTGGAAGTTAATACCTTCTAAAACATGACCGCATGCACCCAGAAACAAGTGGTATACCATGCTGGTTCATTCTGCGAGATTATATTCTCTCTTCATTCCCATTCTGCCCCCCTCTTTTATCTCCTATATGCTTTGGTGGTCAATGTTGGGGCTTCCTAAAAGTATTGCTGGTTTATATACATTTGGGACTGAGCATCTTCTAACAAATAGAACTTAAAACACTCAGAACCAAGAGGATCACCCTCTAGGACCCGTCAGGTAGACTACATTCTCCCTCCACTACAACTTCTCCACCACCACCATCTCCCAGTCTCCTTTTTTTTTCTTTTTTTTTTTTTCCTCTTTACTTTGGTCTTTTTTTTTTCTCTTCTTTTTTTTCTTTTTTCTTTTTTTACGACTTCTTTGGGATTCTTGTCCTTTTTTTTTTCTTACTACTGTGTTTTAAAATTTCTTTTTCACCTTAGTGGTCCTGTTGTTTTATTTTGTCCTGATCTTCGTTTTGATTTTCTGGTCTTTGACCTTGTCAGAATCATCTAGGGTGAAATTTAGTTAGCTTGTGCTTGATATTCTTGACTCAGCCGGCTCATACAGTCACTCTGCACTGAGCAAAATGACTTGTGGTGAATTCTTCCTTCTAAAGAAAGAAGCAGAAACAGTACTCTCTGCCACAGAGTTACAGAATTTAGATTACAATTTGATGTCAGAAAGCCAATTCAGAAGCACAACTATAGCTATTGATGGCTCTGGAAAAAAGCGTAAAGGATTCTAGAGACTTCATGACTGCAGAAGTTTGAGCTAATCAGGCCAAAATTAAAAATCAGTTAAATGAGATGCAACCCAAACTGGAGGTCCTAACGATGAGGGTTAATGAGGTGGAGGAAAGTGTGAGCAACATAGAAGACAAGTTGATGGCAAGGAGGGAAGCTGAAGAAAAAAGAGAGAACCAATTAAGAGACCAAGAGGAAAGGTTAAGGGAAATAAATGACAGCCTCAGAAGAAAGAATCTACTTATAATTGGGGTTCCAGGAAACGCCAAGAGGGCCACAGGGCCAGAAAGCATATTTGAACAAATCATAACTGAGAAATTCCCTAATTTGGGGAGGGAAAAAGGCACGCAGATCCAGGAGATAGGTTCCCCCCCCCCCACAAATCAATAAAAACCATTCAACACATCGACATTTAATAGTGAAACTTGCAAATTCCAAAGATAGAGAGAAAATCTTTAAAGCAGTGAGAGATAAGAGATTCTTAACTTATATGGGAGAAATATCAGATTAACAGCAGACCTCTCCACAGAGACCTGGCAGGTCAGAAAGGGCTGGCAGGATATATTCAAGGTACTAAATGAGAAAAACATGCAACCAAGAATACTATATCCACCAAGGCTCTCATTCAGAATAGAAGGAGAGATAAAGAGATTACAGGATAGGCAGAAACTGAGAGGATATGTGACCACCAAACCAGCTCTGCAAGAACTATTAAGGGGGACCCTGTAAAAGAAAGAGGAAGCCCAAAGAAATAATCCACAAAAACAGGGACTGAATAGGTATTACGAAGACATTAAATTCATATCTTTCAATAGTTACTCTGAATGTGAATGGGCTAAATGATCCCATCAAAAGATGCAGGGCTTCAGACTGGATAAAAAAGCAAGACCCATCTATTTGCTGTCTACTCAATTAGACCTAAGGACACCTCCAGCCTGAAAATGAAAGGTTGGAGAACCATTTACCATTCAAATGGTCCTCACAAGAAAGCTGGGGTAGCAATCCTCATATCAGATGAATTAAAGTTTATCCCAAAGACTATAGTGGGAGATGAAGAGGGACACTATATCATACTTAAAGGGTCTATCCAACAAGAATACCTAACAATCATGAGTATTTATGTCCCTAATGTGGGAGCTGCCAAGTATAGCAATCAACTAATAACCAAAATAAAGGCATACTTAGATAATAATACACTAATAGCAGGAGACTTCAACATGGCGCTTTCTGCAAATGACAGATATTCTAGTACAACATCACCAAAGAAACAAAGGCTTTAAACGATACACTGAAGCAGATGATTTCACAGCAATATACAGAACTTTGCATCTGAACGCAACTGAATACACATTGTTCTCAACTGCACATGGAACATTCTCCAGAATAGACAGGGTCACAAGTCAGGTCTCAACTGATACCAAAAGATTGGGATTGTCCCCTGCATATTTCAGACCACAATGCTTTGAAACTAGAACTCAATCACAAGAGGAAATTTGGAAGAAACTCAAGCACTTGAAGGTTAAAGAGCATCTTACTAAAAGATGAATGAGTCAACCAAGAAATTAGAGAAGAATTAAAAAGGTTCATGGAAACTAATGAAAATGTAGATACAGCCATTCAAAATATTTGGGATATGGCTAAATCATTCCTAAGAGGGAAATACATCGCAATACAAGCATCCCTCAAAAATTGGAAAAAACTCAAATACACAAGCTGACCTCATAGCTAAAGAAACTGGAGAAAGAACAGCAAATAAAATTTACACCAAGCAGAAGAACAGAGATAATAAAGATTCAAGCAGAACTCAATGAAAATGAGACAGGAAGAACTGTAGAACAGATCAACCAAACCAAGAGTTAGTCTTCGAAAGAATTAGAAAGATAGATAAGCCATTAACCAGCTTTATTTAAAAGAAAAAAGACTCGAATTAATAAAATCATGAATGAAAGAGGAGAGATCACAACCAATACCAAGAAAATACAAACTATTTTAAAACGTATTATGAGCAGCTATATGCCAATATATTACACAATCTAGAAGAAATGGAAACATTTCTGTAAAACTACAAACTACCAAACTGGAACAGCAAAAAATAGAAAACATGAACAGGCCAATAACCAGGGAGGAAATTGAAGCAGTCATCAAAAACCTCCCAAAACACAAAAGTCCAGGGCCAGATGGCTTCCCAGAGAATTCTTTCAAACATTTAAAGAAGAAACCATACCTATTCTACTAAAGCTGTTCGGAAAGATAGAAAGGGATGAATTCCTTCCAAACTCGTTCTATGAGGCCAGCATCACCTTAATCCCAAAACCAGACAAAGACCCACCAAAAAGCAGAATTATAGGCCAATATCCCTGATGAACACAGCTGCAAAAAATTCTCAACAAGATACTAGCCAGTAGGATCCAGCAGTACATTAAGAATATTATTCACCATCACCAAGTGGGATTTATCCCTGGGATGCAAGGCTGGTTCAACACTCGTAAAGCAATCCATGTGATAGATCACAACAGATCATATCAACAAGAGAAAAAAACAAGAACCATATGATCCTCTCAATAGATGCAGAGAAAGCAGTTGACAAAATATAGCATCCATTCCTGATCAAAACTCTTCAGAGTGTAGGGATGGAGGGAACATTCCTCAGAATCTTAAAATCAAAGGCATTCAAATTGACAAAGAAGAAGTCAAACTCTCTCTCTTCGCAGATAACCTAATACTCTACCTAGAAAACCCAAAAGACTCCATCCCAAGATTGCTAGAACTCATACAGCAATTCAGCAGTGTGGCAGGATATAAAATCAATGCCCAGAAATCAGTGGCATTTCTATACACTAACAATGAGACTGAAGAAAGAGAAATTAAGGAGTCAATCCCATTTACAATTGCACCGAAAAGCATACCTAGGAATAAACCTAACCAAAGAGGTAAAGGATCTATACCCTAAAAACTACAGAACACTTCTGAAAGAGATTGAAGAAGACACAAAGAGATGGAAAAATATTCCATGCTCATGGATTGAAAGAATTAACATTGTGAAAATATCAATGTTACCCAGGGCAATTTACACATTTAATGCAATCCCTATCAAAATACCATTGGCTTTCTTCAGAGTGTTGGAACAAATCATCTTCAGATTTGTGTGGAATCAGAGAATACTCTGAATAGCCAGGGCAATATTAAAAAAGAAAACCAGGGGATCCCTGGGTGGCACAGCGGTTTGGCACCTGCCTTTGGCCCAGGGCGCGATCCTGGAGACCTGGGATGGAATCGGGCTCCCGGTGCATGGGGCCTGCTTCTCCCTCTGCCTGTGTCTCTGCCTCTCTCTCTCTCTCTGTGTGTGACTATCATAAATAAATAAAAATTTTAAAAAAAAAGAAAAGAAAATGCTCTGCATCACGGGCCATCAGGGAAATACAAATAAAACCACAATGAGATACCACCTCACACCAGTGAGAATGGGGAAAATTAACAAGGCAGGAAACCACAAATGTTGGAGAAGATGTGGAGAAAGGGGAGCCCTCTTGCACTGTTGGTGGGAATGTGAACTGGTGCAGCCACTCTGGAGAACTGTGTGGAGTTTCCTCAAAGAGTTAAAAATAGATCTGCCCTATGACCCAGCAATTGCACTGCTGGGGATTTACCCCAAAGATACAGATGCAGTGTAATGCCAGAACACCTGCACCCTGATGTTTATAGCAGCAATGTCCACAGTAGCCAAACTGTGGAAGGAGCCTCGGTGTCCATCGAAAGATGAATGGATAAAGAAGATGTGGTCTATGTATACAATGGAATATTACTCAGCCATTAGAAATGACAAATACCCACCATTGCTTCGATGTGGATGGAACTGGCGGGTATTACGCTGAGTGAAATAAGTCAATCAGAGGACAAACACTATATGGTCTCATTCATTTGGGGAATATAAAAAATAGCGAAAGGGAATAAAGGGGAAAGGAGAGAAAATGAGTGGGAAATATCAGTGAGAATGACAGAACATGAGAGACTCCTAGCTCTGGGAAGCGAACAAGGCTAGTGGAATTGGAGGTGGGTGGGGAGTTGGGGTGACTGGGTGATGGGCACCGGAGGGGCATCATTGACAGAATGATCACTGGGTGATATGCTATATGTTGGCAAATTGAACTCCAATAAAAATGGGGTGGTGGAAAGGGATTTGGTGGGGGATTGGGGTGACTGCATGATGGGCACTGAGGGGGTCCCTGAGGGGAGCACTTGATGGGATGAGCACTGGGTGTTATGCTATATGTTGGCAAATCGAACTCCAATAAAAAATGTACAACGAAATAAATAAAATAAAATGGGTAAAGTCTTCAAAAAATAAATAAATAAAATAAAATTCCAATGAGAATTACATGCACATGCATGTGGGTGCGTGCATACACATACACACATATAGTGTGCCTCATTTGGCATGACAGCCCCCATACTGCCCTCAGCCACACATGTCTGCACATTCTTGTCCAACTTGGCTCTTTTCAACAGGCTTCTGTTCCTGTGTTAGAGATGCCACAGACCAATGCCCAATTTCTTAAGGCACAGGCTGGTATCCAACACATGAAATCAACTGAGATGCCTTGAAGATGGGAGAAAATGATGGCTCACACAAAATTTTGTGCAGTCCTTCTCAAAGTGATATCCCCAGATCAGCAGTATCAGTGTCACCTGGAAACTTGTTAAAAATAAACATCACTGGACCCCACCGCAGACCTTCTGAATCAGGAATTATTGGGATCCAGAGCCTCAGCCCCCCCCCTCCAATGTTTTTAGAGCCACTGGCCAATGGAATCAGAGACTCAAAAATAGAGTCCAGGAATCTACAGTCTTATAAGCGACTCAGATTATTCTTTTCCACATTAGACATCATAAACCATGACCCTAAGGCTGGATAGAAATGGGGATCCCTGGGTGGCGCAGCGGTTTGGTGCCTGCCTTTGGCCCAGGGCGCGATCCTGGAGACCCGGGATCGAATCCCACGTGGGCTTCCGGTGCATGGAGCCTGCTTCTCCCTCTCCCTCTGCCTGTGTCTCTGTCTCTCTCTCTCTCTCTCTCTCTCTCTCTCTCTCTCTCTCTCTCTCTCATTGACTATCATAAATAAATAAAAATTTAAAAAAAAGAAATGGGGATGTAGGGCAGCATAGTAATGTCTAATATCATTATACCCACCTTATTTACAGGCAGAAATCAGTGATTTTTTAAATAAATCAAATTTGTGAAAGAGACAAGTGAATTAAATTGAGAAATCTAGATAAAGGGGGAAAAGAAAAAAAGGGTCTATGGGTCTATATCCCAGACACCAGGATGAACCCTCCAGAATTTACCTGTCACAGAGGAAGGTGGTTCTCTGGATAACAAACCGGGGGTCACAGAAGTCCCTGTGAAATCAGAAAAAAAGAGAATTCTGTGCTCTCTGGGCTATGGGTCCTGGGCAAATAATAAAGCATTTCTGCGACCCACTTTCCTCACCTAGAAAATGAATCCAAAGAAGCTCACATCGCTAGACTGTCATGGGTGTTAAATAGCACACCTAGCACATTCTGGAACTAATTAATAATGGTGGGCTTTGTAGCTGCCTCCCTGCTTTTCGAACCTCAGCTCTGCCCTTTTCTAGATCTCTGTGACCTGCACCTTACATTGCCCCTAGTAGCAAAACCGGCTCTTAAATCCTAGAAAGCAGATAAGGAGGCAGAAGCTGGGAGATACATGCATGGAGAAAGGGTGATGCCCGTGTAAGAAAACACAGCCCTTTTCTGCCCCCACCACCCTACCAACCTCCTTTCACCCTAGGACATTTGCTCATACAGTTCTGAACACCTGCAACTCATCCCACTACTGCACCCAACTGGTTACCTCTTATTCTGCCCTAAGATATAGGTCAAACATTGACTGCTCAGAGAAGTCTCCCCAGATTGTCTCCCTGTCTCAGTTCTAACAGCACTATGTACTTCCAATTCGTAATGCATATCAGAGCAACAACTATATAGGTGTTGGATATGTCCTTAAGACTGTTTGCTCTAATTACTATATGTATCCATTATGTGTATATACGTGTGTATGTGTGTATAAAGGAAAAGATACCACAAAGAGAGAGAGAGAGAGAGTTTCAAGCAGTTGGCAGCAAAGCACAGCCACAACATAGGCACTTTTTAAATATATTCAGTGAAAGAAGCAATAAGTGAGCAGGGACCAAAAAAAAAAAAAGACAAATCTATACAGCAGGAGAATTAGTGGTTTTCTTGGGCTGGAGGGAGTGGGAGGTAGTGGCTGTATATGGACAATGAAGTATATTATAGGGTGGTAGAAATGTTCCATAAGCGGATTGTGGTGGGGACCACGCAACTCTGTAAATGTACTAAAAAGTGACTTGTACACTTAAAACAGGTGACTATATGTTAAGCTCCTACTATATGTGAGGAATTATTGTTGGTTTGAGGAATACAGCAGAAAAGAAAACTAGTTTCCAAGATCTATAAAGAACTTCTTAAACTCAACAGCAAAGAAACAAACAATCCAATCATGAAATGGGCAAAAGACATGAAGAGAAATCTCACAGAGGAAGACATAGACATGGCCAACATGCACATGAGAAAATGCTCTGCATCACTTGCCATCAGGGAAATACAAATCAAAACCACAATGAGATACCACCTCACACCAGTGAGAATGGGGAAAATTAACAAGGCAGGAAACAACAAATGTTGGAGAGGATGCGGAGAAAAGGGAACCCTCTTGCACTGTTGGTGGAAATGTGAACTGGTGCAGCCACTCTGGAAAACTGTGTGGAGGTTCCTCAAAGAATTAAAAATAGACCTGCCCTATGACCCAGCAATTGCACTGTTAGGGATTTACCCCAAAGATTCAGATGCAATGAAACGCCGGGACACCTGCACCCCGATGTTTCTAGCAGCCATGTCCACAATAGCCAAACTGTGGAAGGAGCCTCGGTGCCCATCGAAAGATGAATGGATAAAGAAGATGTGGTTTATGTATACAATGGAATATTACTCAGCCATTAGAAACGACAAATACCCACCATTTGCTTCAACGTGGATGGAACTGGAGGGTATTATGCTGAGTGAAGTAAGTCAATCGGAGAAGGACAAACAGGGTATGTTCTCATTCATTTGGGGAATATGAATAATAGTGAAGGGGAATATAAGGGAAGGGAGAAGAAATGTGTGGGAGATATCAGAAAGGGAGACAGAACATAAAGACTTCTAACTCTGGGAAATGAACTAGGGGTGGTGGAAGGGGAGGAGGGCGGGGGGTGGGGGTGAATGGGTACGGGCACGGAGGGGGACACTTGACGGGATGAGCACTGGGTGTTATTCTGTATGTTGGTAAATTGAACACCAATAAAAATTAATTTATTTAAAAAAAAAAGAAAAGAAAACACAAATGTCTGTCCTTCTGGAACTTACATTCCAGGGTGCAGGGGGCAGACAGATGATAAACACCATAAATCAGTACAATGTATGCATAGCCCTTAGGTGCTTTGGAGAAAAATTAGGCAAACAAGGTGGCAGAGAGCATCAGAGACACAAGAATGTGACCTTTGATTGAAGACCTGAAGGAAGCAATGGATTGAGCCATAAGATCTGGAGAAAGCATCCCAGCAAATGCAAGGTCTCTGAGGACCTAGTGAGACTCCATATTCAAGGAAAAGCAAGATGGGGTGCAGTCAATAATATCGGAACCACTTTGTATGGTCACAGATGGTAATTGAGCTTATTGTGGTAACCATTTCATAAATGTATATAAATATCAAAACAGGGTGCCTGGGTGGCTCAGTCACTTGGGCATCCACCCTCAGCTCAGGTCATGATCCCGGTGTCCTGGGATCCGGTCCTGCATCATGCTCGCTGCTCAGTGGGGTGTCTGCTCTCCCTCTGCCCCTCACCCTGCTTGTGCTCTCTCTTGCTTCCTCTCTGTGTCTCTCAAATAAAGATAAAATCTTTGATATATATATATATATAATATATATATATATAATCACTATGCTGTACACCTGAAACTAATACAACATTGTATGTCAATTAGTCTTCAACTCAAAAAGGAGGGAAAGCAAGATACTGACGTATCTGAGGCAGACTGGGTGAGGGTGGAGCATCGGGTCAAGTGATGATGGGTGAAGGAGGGGTTTGATGAGGAGTGAGGAGGGAGTGCTATGGGCTTTGAGCAAGGGTATGAAATTATCTGATTTTAACCCTTTCTTTTTTAAGATTTTATTTATTTATTCATAAGAGACACAGAGAGAGAGGCAGAGACATAGGCAGAGGGAGAAGCAGGCTCTCCATGGGGAGCCCGATATAGGACTCAATCCTGGGACTGGGGGATCATGAACTGAACCAAAGGCAGACTCAACCTCTGAGCCACCCAGGTGCCCTGATTTTAACCTTTTATAAAAGGATTTCTCTTGCCGTAGTTTTGCAAACATTCTAAAGGGGGGCAAAGGTATCAAGTCTTATAAACTTCCAACCAGTAGATAATTGAGTCCTGAAGATTAATGCACAAAACTATATTACAGACTCGAAAGTTGCTAAAAGACCAGATATTTAGTGTTCTCACCACAAAAAAGCAATGGCAATTAATGTGATGTGGTGGAGGTGTTAGCTAATGCAATAATGGTAATTGTGTTGCAATATATAAATGTATCAAATCAACATGGGCTACATCTTAAATTTATACAATGCCATGTGTCAATTATATCTCAATTAATTTTCTTTTTATTTAAATTCAATTTGCCAACATACAATATAACACCAAGTGCTCACCCCATCAAGTGCCCTCCTTAGTGCCTGTCACCCAGTTACCCCATCCCCCCACCCCTTCTGCAACCCCTTCTGCAGAAGGCCTCCCCTTCTGCAACTCTTTGTTTGTTTCCCAGAATTAGGAATCTCTAATGGTTTGTCTACCTCTCTAATTCTTCCCACTCAGTTACCCTCCTTTCCCTTATAATCCCTTTCACTATTCCTTATTTTCCACATATGAGTGAAACCATATGATGATTGTCCTTTAAAAAATTAACTGATGCAGTGAAATGCCGGGACACCTGCACCCCAATGTTTATAGCAGCAATGTCCCCAATAGCCAAACTGTGGAAGGAGCCTCGGTGTCCATCAAAAGATGAATGGATAAAGAAGATGTGGTTATATGTATACAATGGAATATTCCTCAGCCATTAGAAATGACAAATACCCACCATTTGCTTCAACGTGGATGGAACTGTAGGGTATTATGCTGAGTGAAATAAGTCAATCGGAAAAGGACAATCATTATATGGTCTCGTTCATTTGGGGAATATAAAAAATAACGAAAGGGAATAAAGTGGAAAGGATAGAAAATGAGTGAAAATATCAGTGAGGGTGACAAAACATGAGAGACACCTAACTCTGGGAAATGAACAAGGAGTAATGGAAGGGGAGGTGGGCGGGGGGTGGGAGTGACTGGGTGATGGGCACTGAGGGGGGCACTTGGCGAGATGAGCACTGGGTGTTATGCTATATGTTGGCAAATTGAACTCCAATAAAAAATTTTTTAAAAGAAAATATTGGGATCCCTGGGTGGCGCAGCGGTTTGGCGCCTGCCTTTGGCCCAGGGCGTGATCCTGGAGACCCGGGATCGATTCCCACGTTGGGCTCCCGGTGCATGGAGCCTGCTTCTCCCTCTCTCTCTCTCTCTCTCTCTCTCTCTATATATATATATATATATATATATATATATATATATCATAAATAAATAAAAAATTTAAAAAAGAAGAAAATATCAGTGAGGATGACAGAACATGAGAGACTCCTAACTGGGAAACGAACAAGGGGTAGTGGAAAGGGAGGTGGGTGGGGGTGGGGGATTGGGGTGACTAGGTAACGGGCACTGAGGGGGGCACTTGGCGGGATGAGCACTGGGTGATATGCTATATGTTGGCAAATTGAACTCCAATTTTTAAAAAAAGGGCAAGTGTGGATACAGAGAGACCAGTATGGAGTAACCCAGTTCTAGGTGATGGATGGTAGAGCCATGGAGAGAAGTTGTCAGATTGGGGACAGGTTTCAAAGATGTAGGAAGCATGAGGTAGGCAAAGACACCAAGGTTTATGAGAAAATGCCCCTGAGTATTATAGCAGAAAAATGTGTCTTTTTTTAATTTTCGTGTTATTTTTAAGTGTACGTTAAATGTACCATCTCAAACATTTAAGCGTACAGTTCAGTAGTACAAAGTACATTCACATTGTTGTGCAAGAAATCTCACAACTTTTTCATCTGCAAAACTGAAATTCCTATTAAAAGCTAATTTCCCTTCTCCCCTTCCCCAGCCATTAGCAACCCCCTCTCTACTCTCTGCCTCTATAATTTTGACTGCTTTCAAATGCCTCATATGAGTGGAATCAGACAGTAGATGTCCTTTTGTGACCAGCTTATTTTATATATTGTAATGTCCTACAGGTTCATACATACTGTAGGACACAACAGGATTGCCTTCCTTTTAGGGCTGCATAAAATTCCATTGTGTATATGCACTACATTTTCTCTATGAACTGTGCTGTCCTCTTTTGAAAGACGTATGCTTTAAGAATGAAAGATAAGGGAAGGGAGAAGAAATGTGTGGGAGATATCAGAAAGGGACACAGAACATAAAGACTTCTAACTCTGGGAAATGAACTAGGGGTGGTGGAAGGGGAGGAGGGCGGGGGTTGGGGGTGAATGGGTGACGGGCACGGAGGGGGACACTTGACGGGATGAGCACTGGGTGTTATTCTGTATGTTGGTAAATTGAACACCAATAAAAATTAATTTATAAAAAAAAATAAATAAATAAAAAAATAAAAAAAAGAATGAAAGATTGATACCACTACCATTTGAACAAACCTCAAAAACATTAGCTAAGTGAAAGAAGCTGGTCACAAAAGACTCCATATATGTGAAATTCCCCCAAAGAGGCAATTTTTTTTTAAGATTTATTTGTTTATTCATAAGAGACAGAGAGAGAGGCAGAGACACAGGCAGAGAGAGAAGCAGGCTCCCTGCAGGGAGCCCAGTGCAGGACTCGATCCCAAATCCTGGGACCATCCCCTGAGCCAAAGGCAGATGCTCAATTACCAAGCCACCCAGGCATTCCCCCCAAAGAGGCAAGTTTATAGAAATAGAAGGTAGTTTGTGGTTAAATGGAAAATGGCTGCAAACAGGCACTAGACCTTCGGAGGTGATGGAAGTGGGCTGAGTTGTGGTGATGGTTGCACAATTCTTTGAACTCACTAAAAACCATGAACACTTAAAGTGGGTAACCTTGTAGGTATAGAAACCTTTATACCTGAATAAAAGTTGCTTTGAAAACAAAGAATGGATGGGGCATCTGGGTGTCTCAGTGGTTGAGCATCTGCCTTTGGCTCAGGTCGTGATCCTGGGGTCCTGGGATCAAGTCTCGCATCAGGTACCCCACAGGGAATCTGCTTCTCCCTTTGCCTATGTCTCTGCCCTCTCTCTATGTCTCTCATGAACAAATAAATAAAATCTTAACAAAAATAAAAAATAAAAACAAAAAATGGAAGGCAATTTCTAGTGAATAATGACCTCACTAGATTTCAATGAAAAAAGTCTGAATACAAGTACATTTTCATTTTACCCTGTACTGTATTAATCCACTGAAGACCAAAAGGATAAAAATTTTCCATTTGCTAGTGGTTAGAGTTGTTAGTTTTTTGTATATTGAAGCATTTCGGTTTTTTAAATATTTTATTTATTTACTTTAGAGAGCACGTGTGAGCAGAGGGTAGGGAAAAGTGGGAGGGAGAGGAAGAGGGAAAGAAGCCTGAGCAGCCTCCATGCTGAGCATAGAGCCCCACGCAGGGCTCCATCTCATGACCCTGAGATCATGACCTGAGCCAAAACCAATAGTCCGATGCTTAACCTGGTGCCTCTGTTAAGGCATTTTAAATAATTCGGTTGTGGGGGTACCTGGGTGGCTCAGTCAGAAGAGCATGCAACTCTTGATCTCAGGGTCATGAGTTCAAGCCCCACAATGGGTGTAGAGATTATAAAAAGTAAATAAATAAACTTTGCAGCCCCAGTGTGATGCAGTGGGTTGAGCATCCAACTCTTAGTTTCAGCTCAGGTCATGATCATATCAGGCTCCACATGAGGTTCCATGCTCAGCACAGAGTCTGCTAAAGTTTCTCCCTTCCTCTCCCTCTGCCCTTCCCTGTTCTCTCTCTTATAAATAAATAAATATTTTTTTAAAAAATAAAATACACTGAGGGGGGCACTTGGGATGAGCACTGGGTGTTATACTATATGTTGGCAAATCGAACTCCAACAAAAATATATTAAAAAAAAGAAATTGGGGAAGAAAACTAAAAAATAATCAATCAAAATAAAATAAAACAATCTTTAATTCAGTTGCTTCAGTACTTGTGAAGGCACATAACAGTAAAAAACAGTTAAAAGAAAACATCAACAATGATTTTTAAATTACATCAGTTGATATAAAGGATTTAGCAGCAAGCTTTGTTGTAGAGATACTTTGTACTTAGACTACTACAAATAAGAAAGATTGAATGTATGTTGGTGGTATAAAAAGAGTCAAATTTCCTTCCTATTATGGCATTTTTAAAGTAATTTCCATAAATTTTTTGCTGCTTTTTGTTTGTTTGAAAACCTAGACAAGACACAAAACATTATCCCTGGTATTAAGAATTATTTTTTCTAAGAACACCTGAGTGGCTCAGTGGTTGAGCATCTGCCTTCGGCCCAGGGTGTGATCCCGGAGTGCTGGGATCGAGTCCCACATCGGGCTCCCTGCATGGAGCCTGCTTCTCCTTCTGCCTGTGTTTCTGCCTCTCTCTGTGTTTCTCATGAATAAATAATTAAATATTTTTAAAAGAATTAGTTTTTCTAGAGTATATACTCTATAGTAGACAGAATAAGAGCCTCCCAAATATGCTCATGTCCTAATCTGCAGGCCTGTGAATATGGCATCTTACATGGTAAATGGGACTTTGCAGTTGTGCTTAAGGATGTGGAGGTGGAAAAAAGTATCCAGAATTATCCAGGTGGCCCCAGTGTGATCACAGGGTCCTTAAATGTGGAAGCATGAGGCAGGGCAGCATAAGAGTCTGAGACAGAGACCAAGATGCCACACTGCTGGCTTTCATGATAAAGGAAGGGACCATGGGAGCCAAGGGATGCAGGCACCTCTAAAAACTGAAAAAGGCACCGGACAGATTCTCCCCTGGAGCCTCTAGAAAGAACATAACCCAGCTGACACCTTTGTTTTGTCCCAGTGAGACCCATTTGTCACCTGACCTCCAGAAATGTAAGATAATAATACATTTATGGTTTTTTAAACCAGTGCATTTGTGGTGATTTGTGACAGCAGCACTAAGAAATGAATAAATACACCCTCCAAAGCCTCAGGCTTCTCCTCGCCTCCCACCCCCTTCACACCTGTTGGACCCTCCCCTGGAACTTCCACCAGAGTATGCAAGAGCTGAAGAAGAAAGGCTTGGACTGCATCTCCCTCACCTGTTACCACAAGCTCCAGGGGGTCGCTGGGGGCTGACCACAGGTACGGGAACTTGCTGGAAAAGCTATAGCATCGGTAGATCCCACTGTGGGCAACAGTCACTGCGGTGATGGGGAAATTGGCCCAGTACTGTTCTGCAGATCGCTTGTGGGGCTCAGTGTCCCCCTCCTTGTACAGAGCGAATTGGTCAAAACTGTATTGACTCTGACATCGTAGAGTGACATCCCCTCCTTGGGACACAGCCAGGCTGGGCTGGGCTGAGAGTGAGGGCTTAGCATAAACTCCTGGGTGAAAAGAGAGCTCTGGTGTTAAAGACCATGGCAAGTGTGTTGACCATGGGGGTAGGAAGATTCCCCCCACCTCCTAAGAGCTAGGAAACTCTTCAGGTATATCCATTCTAGAGAACCCACTCACCCTGCTACCAACTCACAAAAGGGTTAAAGGGAGCATGACCAAGATCATATCACAGTTCCCAGGCTCAAATCGCTTAGGGGCTGTGTGATCCTGGAGATAAACCTACCCCTCTATCTGTGTGCCTCAGTGTTCTTTACTGAATGAAGCAAATAACAGAGTTGCCTAATGCATAGGGAGCTCCCAAACTATGATGGTAGTAACAAAATAGCTTAATATTTTAATGCAATTTTTAAACCAAAATTAATGCAAATAATTCATAGTGAACAAAATATGAAGTTTTTAAAGATTTTATTTATTTGAGAGCAAGTGAGAGTATGAGTTGGGGTGGCAGAAGAGAGAGAAGCAGACTCCCCACTGAGCAGGGAGCCCCCCTCAACTGGGTTCAAACCCAGGACCCTATCCCAGGACCCTAGGATCATGACCTGAACTGAAGGCAGAAGCTTAACCAACTGAGCCACCCAGGTGCCTCAAAACATCAAGATTTTAAACAAAAAGAGACTCCAACTGTGCCTAGCAGAGATGCAGAAGGCTCAAAACACTTTTATGTATTTTTATGGTTAATTTTTTCCACACTATTGATTCAAATTCAGGACTTGTGACTCTGAGTTACTTATTGCACATTGCTGTAAGTAGTGTGAGCTGTGTACATAATCACGTGGAGGCCAGTGCAGTTTGAGCCTGGACTTCACATTTGACAATGGATGTACTATCAAATAAAGTTTTTGTGTACTAAAAAAATTTTCCAGGCTATTAACAGTTGAAAAAATTGAAAAACTTTAAAGTAGGCTATTAAAACTCACAAATTATTTTAAGTTTAAGTATTTTATTTATACAAAAAAATACTTTTTAAAGAATTTATTATCCTTTTAATTCTCCTAACTTTAGGGAAACAAATTCATCAATGATATTTTCAAAATCTGTTCGGAAAATAACCATTTTAAAATGCTTTAGAGGGACACCTGGGTGGCTCAGCAGTTGGGCATCTGTCTTTGGCTCAGGGCGTGATCCCAGTCCAGGGATAAAGCCCCACATTGGGCTCTCTGTGAGCCCCTGTCTACTTCTCCCTCTATGTCTCTGCTTCTCTCTGTATTTCTCAGGAATAAATAAACAAAATCCTTTAAAACAATAAAATAAAATAAATAAAAATGCATTAGAAATAAAAGCATAAGCTGAGAACACTTTATTCCACCAAAAAAATAAAAATAAAAAATAATGCATTAGAACGTAGATAGAGGGTATACATGTTGCCTTTTGCATAAGGCTTAAGTATGGCTTGAAAGGACACTGCCAGGGATCCCTTGGTGGCGCGGCAGTTTAGCACCTGCCTTTGGCCCAGGGCGCGATCCTAGAGACCCAGGATCAAATCCCACGTCGGGCTCCCGGTGCATGGAGCCTGCTTCTCCCTCTGCCTGTGTCTCTGCCTCTGTTTCTCTCTCTCTCTCTCTCTCTCTCTCTCTCTCTCTCTCTCTCTGTGTGTGTGTGTGTGTGTGTGACTATCATAAATAAATAAAGGTTTTTTTTTAAAAATTCTTAAAAAAAAAAAAGAAAGAAAGGACACTGCCAGGTTCTGTCTTTACTTAAAATGTTTTGCGGGACCTGGGTGGCTCAGTTGGTTAAGCAACTGCTTTCAGTTCAGGTCATGATCCTGGGGTCTTGAATCAGCTCGGGTTCCAGCTTCCTGCTCAGAGGGGAGTCTGCTTCTCCCTCTCTTCTCGCTCTCAAATAAATAAATAAAATCTTCTTTTAAAAAAAGTATGATGCTTTGTTCAGTGTGGATGTTTTCGCATTGATTTTGATTGTTTTGGAAAGGTATTGCATTGACATATTCCTTATGTGAATCACTGTGGATTTTGCCACCTCCCCTAAACATAGCTCCCCACCCTAACCCCAGCCTCCCGGGACTCGGGGTTCGCTGTCATCATCATCCCCCTCTTCACCCTCCTGGAGCCCCGAGGCCACAGGTGGCTCCCTCCCATGCCCCTCCAGGTACCAGTGGCCACCAGCTCCAGCCGGTTGCTGGGGGGAGACCAGAGGGTCCCGTTCTGATAGGAGCAGCGGTAACACCCAGCGAAACTTTCCTCCATGGTCTTGATGAAAAGGACAGGCCGATCCTGGTACTTCCGGGACCTCAGCTTCTCCAGGCGGTACAAGTCCACGTCTGGAGGCCCCTGGCAGTGGATGGTCACCTGCGTCTTCAGGGGTGCTAGGGAGCTAGGCAGAGCCTGGAGGGAGGGCTTGGGCAGGGTACCTGGAAGGGAAGCAGAATTTCCAAACAGACACCTCCTCCTGGGTGCTCCCCTCCTCCCACCCTCCTGGCCGTTGTGCAGGCACCCAGATCCAGAGGATTCCAAGGGAAGGACTCACCAAGCTGTGCTTGCACCACCTGCCCCAGACACAGCCCTGAGCAGAGAAGAAAAGCACCACCTGCTAGCATCTCCTGGAGGCCACACTTCTGCACGCAGAGCAGGTAATGCCACATCTTCAGGCAGTCACTTTCTTCTGTCCTCATTTGCTTAAGGACACACACTCACATAATTTGAGTGCCAGAAGAAGCCAGCCACAGAAGGCCACATATTGTATGATTCCATTTATCTGAAACATGCTCACTAGGTAAATCTGCTCAGACATGGAGAGATTAGTGGTTGCCAGAAGCTGGGGGGTGGGTGGCAGGGGCATTGAGGAGTGATTTTCATGGGCATGATTTCCTTTTAGACTGGTGACAGTGCCTTAGAATGAGAGAAGTGATGGTTGTATGCATTGTGAATGTACTAAATGTCATTAATGATAAAGTTTATGTTGAGTTTGTTATTTTATTACAATTTTTAAAAAGCCAGTCACGAATTCCTTGCCCCTCCTCCCCATGCACACACTGGTTGACAACTGTAAAGGGAATTATCTCCTCTCTGGAAAGGGGGCTGTGTGCAGGATGTGGTCTTTATTTTTTTTCTCAGCTTTATCAAGATATAATTGATATACGATACACAACATTGTGTAAATTTAAGGTGTAGGTGTTGATTTAATACACTTATATATCATAAAATGATTACCACCACAACATTAAGTAATACTTCCATCCTTCTGTCACATAATTACCATTTCTTTTTTGTGGTGAGAACATTTAGAATGTTCAGCAACAGGGTGCTCTTGGCTATAATCACCATGCTGTGCAGTAAGTCCAGATAGGCTCTCTTGCATTGTATCATGTCTAGAGATCACTGGCTGTGTTAATCATGAATTTCCCATTGTTTTAATTTTTGTTTAAATCAATATCCTGCAATTATTATGATTGTGCAAACATTATTCACACCTCAGGAGTGTAGTATTGCACCTGTATATTTTTCCTAATTATTTTCCCTAGAAGCAATATTTGTCCAGTTTAGTGCCTCTGCATAGTTTTTCCTCGACCCTGTGTCTAATTCTTTCCACAGTTCTAAATAGTCTCCCCATGTACTTTTGCACACCTATCAAACCAGATAATCTATAGATTCCATTTTCTGCCTTGCAGGTAACTTTGCCGCATTTTGCCTTCTACCTTCTCTACATTGACCAACGCTTTTCTTCTTTCAAGCTGAACTTTTTTTTGTTCAACTTTTTTGTTGTGTTGGTAGCATTCCCCATTTTAGCCTTGCTAGGATTGCCAGATTTAGCAAATAAAAACATAGGACTCCCATTTAAATATGAATTTCCGATAAACAATGAATTTTTTTGTATAGTATGACCCATGAAATATAATGGTATATACTTAGACTTTAAAAATTATTTGTTGTTTATCTGAAATTAAATTTCACTGAGCATGCTGTACTTTACCTGGTATGCATATGCACGCTCATGTGTGCACACCTGCTGGAAGGAGAGGCAGTTATTGTTTCCATGATAAACGTAAGGAAACTGGGCAGAGAGGCTAAGCAGTTTCTTTTAGCTCACACAGCCAGGAATTGTCCGAATCTGGATTGTCCCTGACTTCAGAGCCCCGGGGGTGACACACTTGTCTCCAGCCCCCTCTGAGCCTCTGTCCACACCAGGTTCTGCTCCCTGTACCCAAGCTCTACCCACATCTTTGTCCGCTGCCCAACACAACCCCACCTTGGTCCTTTTGTGGGTTTCTACTCCAAACTTCTAACAGGACCAGAAATACTCCCAGCACCCTTCTGAGCACTTCTATATGGACTCTGAATCACCACAGTACTACTGGTTAGGGACCATGATTAGTCCCATTTCATAATCGGGCCATGGAGACGAGACAGTATCCTGTCCACCATTCTACAGCTGGGAAGAGGTAGACTCAGACACCAGCCACATATTTTAGTTACCAACAATGTGAACTTGGCACTAAACTCAAATAAACTTAGTTTATTTGATCCCTAGATGTGTGACCTAAACAAGTTCCTAAACTGCCTCTGAGCCTCAGCCTTCTCCTCTGTAAAATGGGGGTATTGAGAGGGCCTACCTTGTCAGTATCTAGCCCACAGTAAGTGCCACATGAGTGTGTGTTAATGACTGACTGACAGGCGGTTTGTGCTCGTGGTTTGTTTTCTTATCCACATAATACAGCTGTTCCTTCCTGCTTGGCCTTGGAGCTTCTGTCCTTTTAGCAATAAGGCTCTTCTGAATAAGGAAACTGTGCACAAGACCTGCAGGAGCAGGCAATAAAAAAACACATAATCCTACCACCAATCTCATTCTGAGAGACTCTTACTCCAGCCTTATGGAAGTATAAGTGGCAAAGAAAAACTGTCTATCTAGGGTATCTGACATGATGATTTGATAGATGTACACACTGTCAAATGATCACCACAATCAACCTAATTAACCCATCTTCCACCTTGCATAGATTGGTTTGGTTTGGTTTGGTTTGGTTTGATGAAAATGCTTAAGATCTACTCTCTCAGTAAATTTCAAGTATATTCTGTAGTATTATTGCCTATAGTCACTGTGCTGTGCATTAGATCCCCAGAGTTTATTCATCTTATAACTAGAAGCTTGTACTCTGTCCACCTATCTCCCTGTTTTTCCCCTCCCCTAGCCCCTGGCAACCACCAGTCTACTCTCTGCCTTAGTGAGTTTGACTTTTTTAGATTCCACATATAAGTGAGATCATGCAGCATTTTCTTTCCATGTCTGGCTAATTTCACTTAGCATAATGCCCTCAGGGAACATTCATGTTGTTGCAAATGGCAGGATTATTTTCTCCAGGGCCATCAGGTTTGCTGACAAATCTATAATCTACTCCTGATGTCACCAAGTCCACATAAAAAAAATTTAAATAGGGATGCATGGGTGGCTCAGCGGTTGAGCACCTGCCTTTGACTCAGGGTGCAATCCCATAGTCCCGGGATTAAGTCCCACATAGGCTCCCTGCATGGAGCCTGCTTCTCCCTCTGCCTATTTCTCTGCCTCTCTCTGTGTGTCTCGTGAATAAATAAATAACATCTTTTTTAAAAATTAAATGAATAAATAAATAATTTTTAAAAACACAGTGTATAGAGACAAAGTTGTAGCCAAAACTGGAAGACCTGTTTATTTCCTGACCTAACCAAGAAGGGAATAGAACAGAATAACAGACAAACACCACCTCCCAGGTCCCAGTTTTCCCAACCAAGAAATGAAGGGGCCCTCAGAGGTCACCAATTGCCCTGAAATTCATTTCTGATGCAATTTTTTTAACATTCTTAGTCTCATAGCCTACTGCTTGTCCCTCAGCATTTCCCAGATCAATCCTCAGTACTCACCAAGACACAGAAGGGCAGGCAGGGATGGGGCCATGGTTCTTCAGTCCATCCAAAGCTCTGTAACCCAGGAGGGAAACTGCAGGGGCTGGAGCAGAGACACCGGATGTGATGAGGATGCAGAGCCCTCTCCTCCCTTCCTGGATCTGCCTGGCTTTTCCTAAGTGAGGATCATCAAGCTGGAGCCATGCCCTCAGTAGAGTGACTTGCACACAAGCTCACAGAAGCTCATTTATCTTCGGTCACCAGCCTAGAGCCACACCATGTCTGCATCTTCAGGCATGGAGTAGGAATATTATCTGATGGATCTCATTAACAGGAACAGTTTCATGGAGCTTTCCTTTGGAGGGGTGACATTTGAGATTATACCTGGTGATGAGAAATATTCATGAATGAAGAACAATACATTCAGCATTGCCCCAAAGCCTTGATGAGGCAAAGAGCCTGGCATTTTCAAGTAAGTGGGAAGTGATTAATGTGGCTAGAATCAAGGAGCATAAAGCCGAGACTGAAGAGATTATAGGGGTCAGATCAGGGTATCCCAACATTGACAGTGTTGACATTTGGAACCAGGTCCTGTTGGAGTTGGGGTGGGCTGTCTTGTGCTTCTGCAAGGCTCAGCAGTATCTCTGGCCTCCATCCACTAGAAATCACTAGCACAACTCCCCCTCCAGTTGTGATGACCAACGAGTCTCTGGACATCTTCAGATGTCCCCTGGGAGACAAAACCATGGCCAGTTGAGAACCACTGGGTTAGATCACTGAAGGACTCTGAGGACAAGATAAACTTGGGTACACAAATATCTCTGTAAACCTACTCACTTTTCAGTCACTACTTCGTTGACCCTCACACAAGACTGAGAAACAGGTGGACCTTTAGTCCCATTCAAACAGGGAAACATGAACTTAGAAGAAAATGTATTTTGGGGGTAGCCCGGGTGGCTCAGTGGTTTAGCGCCGCCTTCAGCCCAGGGCGTGATCCTGGAGACCCGGTATAGAGTCCCATGTCAGGCTCCCTGAATGGAGCCTGCTTCTCCCTCTGCCTGTGTCTCTGCCTCTGTGTATGTGTGTGTGTGTGTGTGTGTGTGTGTGTGTGTGTGTGTCATGAAGAAATAAATAAAATCTTTAAAAAAGAAAGAAAATGTATTTTTCTAGTTAGAGCTTGGGTTCTGGGAGCTGAATAATCGATTTCCTTTGGTTTAGCACAGGCACACATGCATCTAGGTAATCACTCTCTTCTGTAATTCATCTCTTCCCTATGGTTCTCATTTTGATTCTCCATCTCCAAGGAGCAGCTCTGAAATAGTCCAAGTGAATTTATTCATCCCTGCAAAGCTTTATTTTGTATCTTTTAAATTGTATTGTGTAGTAAGTTGTGTAATGCTGTGGAAGTCGTTGTCTTTCCATTGCACACTCAGCGTTTTCAGACCATTCATAAGTCTGCAGAACAGGTACTTGCTTCAACACATTGGTCCTCTCACTGTCCCAATGATGGACAGCCACATTATGTCTAAATATCTCTGCTGCAAACAATGCTGAGATAAATATCATTCCTCATGCACCCCTCTGGACATATGTGAGAATATCTTTAAAATATGTATCCAACAGGAAATTGTCAAATCTTGAGTTAGGTGCATCTTCAATTTACTCACTGCCAAATGGCCATCCAGATTCTCTGTACTGGTTCCTTCTCCCACAGCAGTTCAAGAGGGTCCCCATACCTCCCCATACACCCAAAACCTGCAGTTGCCCAACTTCCTAATCTTTGGCAGTCTGATAACATGTTAGTTTTCCAGAACTGCCAAAGTATCACTAACTGAGCCACTTACACAACAGAAATGTATTGTCTCATAGTTCTGAGATGAAAGTGTCTGTAGGGATGGCTCCTTCTGAGAACCAAGAGATAGAACCTAATCCATGCCTCCGTTCTTGCTTCCAGTGGCTGCTGGCAAGCTTTGGTGCTTGTTGGCTTGTAGATGCATCAACTCCAGTCTCTGCCTCCAGGTTCATGTGGCATTCTCCCTGTGTGCATGTCTCTGCCCAAATTTCTCTTTTTTTTATTAGGACACAAGTTATATTGGATTCGGAGTCTATCCTATTCCAGTATGACCTTACCTTCTCTTAACTAACTACTTCTGCAGTGACCCTATTTCCAAAGAAAGTCCCACTATGAGGTAATGGTGGTTAGACCTCAGTGTATGAATTTGGAGGGGACACAGTTCAGCCCACAGCAGGTGGGTATGGAGTAATATCACATCATTGTTGTCATCTTCTTTTCTCTAATTTCTCGTGAGGTTGAGCATCTCATCACATGCTTTCCTGAGCTTGGAGTTTTCTCTCTGTAAAATACTAACGTCTTTCTGACTTAGAGAATCATTTTTTTAAGATTTTATTTATTTATTCATGAAAGACAGAGAGAGAGAGAGAGAGAGAGAGAGAGAGACGCAGGCAGAGGGAGAAGCAGGCTCTATGCAGGGAGCCCATGGGACTCAATCCCGGGTCTCCAGGATCACACCCTGGGCTGAAGGTGGTGCTAAACCGCTGAGCCACCCAGGCTGCCCTAGAGAATCACTTTTAAATGTGTACATGGTCATGCAGCCAGTGGTTGCAGAAGGAGAATTTGAACTCAGGTTAGCTCATCTACTCCAGAGTCTATACTCTTACCTGATAGACTGTTCCACCAAAGGTTAGCCATCTCTCACTCCCTACTGTCTTCCATATTATTTCCTCCCCTCAGTTATTTCTATTCACCAACAGACATACTGAATTCTCCTCTACTACTTTTACCCCTCACTCCAAACCACCTCTCCAATTCTCACTATACCTGCCATTAGCTTTCTACTCTATTCTTTTGTCAAAATTTATTGAAAAAGTTACTGTTAATACCAACCTCGGGGTCTCTCTTCTCATCCATATCTTTTTTTAATTATGTTCTATTTATTTTAATTGCATAATTGAAAAGAGGAAACTCATCAAAACCAGGGGAAACCATATATCTCTCTCCACACACTCTCTACACCACTCCCCTCCTCTGGAGTAACCCTTCCTGTGGCCAATTTGTTTTGTTTTGCAATTTGGTTCTCTCACAAAGAAGCTTCTTTATTCATTTTCAGTACTTTGAAGGCTTTGGCTCTCAGCAACACCTAGAACATTGGGCCAAAATGCCATTGAGAACTTTCTCCCTGCCCAAATTGACTTTCACTTTATGACTTTCCTTTGTATTTGGTACCAATGAGTGCTCTTTAAACATGCCTAGACATTATGTCTGCTCAGTGACCCAAAGCATCTTTACACCTGCTCCTGTGGGTCACTCCACTTTGCTTTCTTTTTTTTTAAATATATTTTTAATTGAAGTTCGATTTGCCAACATATAGTATGACACCCAATGCTCATCCCGTCGAGTGCCCTCCTCAGTCCCCGTCACCCAGTCACCCCATCCCCCTACCTGCCTCCCCTTCTACTACTCCTTGTTCATTTCCCAGTTAGGAGTCTCTCATGTTTTGTCACCCTCTCTAATTTTTCCCACTCATTTTCCCTCCTTTCCCCTGTAATCCCTTTCACTATTTTTTATATTCCCCGTATGAGTGAAACCATATAATGATTGTCCTTCTCCAATTGACTTACTTCACTCAGAATAATACCCTCCAGTTCCACCCATGTCGAAGCAAATGATAGGTATTCATCCTTTCCGATGGGTGAGTAACCCCTTTGCTTTCTAAGGGCCAGATCACGGCTTGCCTTGCTCAGTAGACCAGTAGTTTCAGGAGTCCTTGAAACTAGAAGCCTATCTCACTACTATGTATATCCCCAGCACAGATCCAAGGAAAGTGTTAACTTCTGTAAATATTTGTTGAATATACAAGTGAATGGGTAACTGTACAAGGAACCAGCAATCTGTTGAGAGATATTTGATCGGTCCTGGAATTTCTTTACAGTTGACAAGTTGACTCTAGTCTTGAGTCTTTGGGGAGCTACAAGCTGATAGCTTGTGTTGAGGGACATAGTAGGACACCCCATTGAGCTGCACCTTTGTTAAGGCTCACTTGAATACTGGAGTCTATATGAGCAGTCCTGGCTCTGGACTCAGGACAAGGTGAGGGTAGCATACACACAGGGCTGGCCAGAGAAGTCCTCATTAGTTCAGGAGAAAAATGTATCCACACTCCTCGTGAGGGTCTTCTGGTGTACCTGAACATAGGTCACCTCTTGAGTGTCTTCCTCTATAGGGTCCTGTCAGCACAGAAATACAAAGTAAAAAAGAGAATCTGTGGAAGGTGATTAGAGCAGGAGAAGGGGTAGCTGAGGAGAGACTCACATGTATGTCCATCTGTCTGTCCTCAAGTTGGATGTCCTCCAAGACATCACCTGCAAGGAGAAATGCGGGGTTAAGCCTCCAGAGAGACCCTGAAAATTATCCAATCCTGTAATCAGTATTTCAGGGATGGCTGACTGAAATATGTAAGGCAATGACACCACATCCAGTAGGGTGGTTCCCCCCACCCCAACACTTTTCTGCTCCCTCCAGGATGTCTTCTATCTTCCCTGAACATATTCTTTCCCCCAATCTAGCTGCCCCTCATTCTCACTCCCCTTTACATTGATTTCTTCCCGGAAGTCCATAACTGGGGTGTAGCTGAGTAAAAGAACATAAAAGTATTAAGGCAGGTCTGAGAAATAAGATATAAAATTTTCTATGAGGGAGAGTCCAAATTCTCCTCCCTCTTACACTTCACCTGGTTCTTGGTCTCATTGTCAATGTTTCCTGTGGAAAGCCAGCAATCAGTGTTGGTAGGGGACCCACCAAAGCCCTCCCTGGTTAACCCTCCCATCTTTAAGACATACCATGTCTGACCCAATGACAACATCAGCAGAGGAGGAAGAGGAGAATTAAGACAACAATGGCCAAGACCCCAATCACAATGGGAAGGTATCCATTTTCAGGGGCAAGTGGATCTAGGAATTAATAAACAGTGAAGATCTGTTATTGAGTTCTTGTTGGATTAATTTATCCATTCAATAAACATTTATTGAGTGCCTTCCCTATATGAGGCAAGTTTTTGGACATTTGGGAAACCATAGTAAACATACCCAACAACAAAATCTATGCCTGTGAACCAATGCATAGAAGTATTTTTACACATAGAGATAAATTCTAGGATGAGACCATTTACACTGCATTATAAGAAAAGATTTCTTTAAGTCAATTGGAAAAGGACAAACATTATATGGTCTCATTCATTTGGGGAATATAAAAAATAGTGAAAGGTAATAAAGGGGAAAGGAGAGAAAATGAGTAGGAAATACCAGAGAGGGTGACAGAATATAAGAGACTCCTAACTCTGGGAAACTAACAAGGGGTAATGGAAAGGGAGGTGGGCAGGGGGCTGGGGTGACTGGGTGATGGGCACTGAGGAGGGGCACTTGACGGGATGAGCACTGGGTGATATGCTATATGTTGGCAAATTGAACTCCAATAAAAAATTTTTAAAAAGAAAAAAAAAGAAAATATTTCTTTGGAGGATGAGCCCTGAAGATAAGAAACACCCAGATCTCTGAAGTGCAAGGAGAATTGCACTTCAACATAACCAAACTCAGAGGTAAGAAAGAGGTGACCCAGATGCAGAAAAGACAAATGGTGCATGAAGGGAAGAGTAGCTCCTGATAGAGGTGGAAAGGTCAGGAGAGATCAGCAAAAATCCAAAACTATAGAGCAGTGTCTAGATTTAAGTTTAAATGCAAAAATGAACCACAAAGGGGCTGACAAAAATACTGGATTTTCTGTGTGACGTATGGACTTAAGGGACCAAGTGGAAAGGGCTGCAGGGTGTGGTTGTGTCCTAACAGTGTGGTGGTGGTGGAAGAAAGAAGGAAATGGACTTGAGTTTTTGAGAATAGAAATGATGAGATTTGAGATTTGGTGATGGAATATGTGGGCATTGGGAGCAGAAGAGGAGCATCAAATATCACTCTCAGTGATGTGATCATTGGAGAGAATGGATGGCACCTACTGAGATGGGAGGATCAGTATAAGGAGGAGGTTTTAAGATTTGTCCATTAAGATCCCTGCTGAGATGCTTATTAGGTGTCTGAGTAGATATCCAATAATCTATGGATATGATATCCATAGGAGCATTTTTTACTGGAGTGATAAGTTGACAGCCATCAGCAGATACTGAACAACTAAATCAGGTTATCTTTATTCCACCCAGCACCCCTGCCTTCAGGCTGGTCATGCACAAACTTCTCCAGGCACCACTACCCTTTTCAACTCTATCCCTGCCATTTTCTCCTCAGGTCCCTGCCTCCATTCCTAAGCCATGCATCTCCCCACACACACACCATAATTAACCTGTAGTTCCCAGAATGCACCAGGCAGGCCCATCTCATACCTGTGCTTCCATCGCCTCTGCTCCCCTGATTGGACATGGTTCCCTCCCTTGAAACCATGAAAACTCTCAGCCAACTAGGAAAGTTATGGCTTACAGAACTCCACCCCCATCCACCAGGATAGCCAAACTGCCCCTGCCTACATAACTCTGTAGGATCTTGACCATAAAGCCATCTTGTACATTGTTCTGTAAACTTTCTGCTTTCTCTGTTGTCTTGGTGACTAATGAGAGACAGCACTATGGTATCAGAATCACCCACAAAATTTTGTGGCTGATAGAGAGCTCATGAAAATAGCCTTGAATGAAGAAACTAGTATGGCCACTCCTTTTACTTTTTCTGTCGCTATCAGCTACTTTTTTAAAAAAGATTTCATTTTTTTATTCATGAGAGACACAGAGACATAGGCAGAGGGAGAATCAGGCTCACCGCAAGGAGCCCAATGTGGAACTCCATCCCAGACCCCGGGATCACACCCTGAGTCAAAGGCAGACACTCAACCACTGAGCTACCCAGGCATCCCTGTCACTATCAGCTACTGATGACACTCAGTCACCTACCCATCTGCAGAAGGCACCACCTAAGGAGAGGACTAGGAAGGGTATGAAGGATGATGACATACCCACACATTGCATGGTGCACCCACCTCTCACTCTGCTTCTCAAGAATCGCCACAGAGCACTTCTGTGTACATGGTTAAAGACATCTCTTCCCAAGGAAAATATTCTTATATGCATGCCAAATTGTCCTAATCAATATACTAAACTTCAGGGTCTCTAAATTGAATGGAGTGATTGTAGCAGGGGTCCTCTTATATGCCAGACAGCCTACATATCAGACAACATGGAACAGATTCCTCACATCACACATCACGCAGGACATCCTTGAGCAGAGAGCAGAAAGGTAACAGTCGGCATCTTTCCTCACTTGTGACCAAAAGCTTAACAGGGTTGCTAGGTAGGGACCATCTGTAGGAGGAGATTTTAGAAGAACCACAGCATTTATAGGTACCCCCATGGGCAAGAGTCATGGGGGAGATAAGGTAGGTCTTATGGTTCTGAAGTAAAAATTCCTGGGTAGAGGCATTTCTTCCATCTTTAGACAGATTAAAGATGTGGTAGTATTGAGATGCTTGACAAAGGAGGGCCACATTCTCTCCTAAGGTCACATTGGGGCCTGGAGAAGCAGTTAGGGAGGGTGTGTCCTTGTATACACCTCAAAGGGAAGAGAATCTCTTATCATTAACCACACACAAAACCACCATTCTCTTGTTTGGCCCTAAAAGAAAGAAGAAAGAAAGTAGGTGAAAGTCAACTATTGCTGCTATACGGTGATCACAAGAACAAGACAAACAAACCAACACTTTTCTTTAAGATTTTATTTATTTATTCATGAGAGACACAGAGAGAGAGAGAGGCAGAGACACAGGCAGAGGGAGAAGCAGACTCCACGCAGGAAGCCCAATGCGGGATTTGGTCCGGGGTCTCCAGGATCACACTCTCAGCCAAAGGTGGCGCTAAACCACTGAGCCAGACTGCCAGGAAACCAACACTTTTCAATTTACCCACAACCCAGGACCAGAGAGAGTGGCCATATGCATGGAGGGGGAGCTGAGTGTCTATCCCCATGAGATGTGGTCCCTTTTGGGACTCCAGCAGCCTCCCTGAAGGGATATGGGACCAGAGTCAGGACACAGAGAGTGAGACCCCAATGGATAAAATGTAAGGACAAGGATCTATGATAGACGCACAGCTGGTCCAATGTGTGGAGCAGCAGAGATGGAAGCTGGGCTGTGCCCTTGGGGGAGTCCCTTACCTGCCACCACCAGATCCATTGAGTCACTGGGTCCTGACCAGCCTCCTCGCTTCTGGTACACAGAATAGTAAATCCCTGCATTGATGTATGTCACAGGCTGGGTGAAAAACATGGGAAGTCCCTGAGTTCCCTGTGAGATTCTGTTGTACCATGTGACAGGAAGTCCTTCTCTTAAGTAGCTGCCATCTGAGCACTCTGGGAGGCCTCTTGCAGTAGATGGTCACAGAACTGTCCTGGGGAATCTCAGCCCCTGGGGATGTCCAGATGGAGAGCCGCAGTAATAATAATCATGGAAGACAAATAGGACATGAAGCCCAAACATCCTGATGTCAGGAAACCCCTTTTCCTCAACCCCAGGATGTGAGAGACAACTTCTACCACCTCCACTTTAACCTCTGTCTGCACTTTCTAATCCCAGGACCCCAGGATCACAACCGGAGCCAAAGGCAGATGCTCGACCACTGAACCACCTGGGTGCCCCTCAAGTGCCCTCCTTGATGCTCATCACCCAGTTACCCCATCCCCCCCACCCACATATCCTCCAGTAACCCTCAGTTTGTTCTCTAGAGCTAAGACTCTCTTATGGTTTATCTCCCTCTCTGATTTTCTTATTTTATTTTTCCTTCCCTTCCCTTTTCCTATGATCCTCAGTTTTGTTTCTTAAATTCCACATATGAGTGCGATCATATGATATTGTCTTTCTCTGACTGACTTATTTCACTTAGTATAATGCCCTCTAGTTCCAACCACATCATTACAAATGGCAAGATTTCATTCTTTTTGATGGCTGAGTAATATTCCATTGTGTATATATATACAACATATCTTCTTTATCCATTCATCTGTCGATGGACATCTCAGCCCTTTCCATAGTTTGGCTACTGTGAACATTTCTGCTATAAACATTGGGGTGCAGGTGCCCCTTAAAATCACTGTATCTACATCCTTTGGGCAAATACCTAGTAGTAGTATGATTGCTGGGTCATAGGCTAGTTCTATTTTTAGCTTTTTGAGGAACTTTCATATTGTTCTCCAGAGTGGCTGTACCAGTTTACCACCAACAGTGCAAAAGGGCTCCCCTTTCTCCACGTCCTCACCAATATCTGTCATTTCCTGACTTATTAATGTTAGTCATTCTGACTGGTGTGATGTGATATTTTGTTGTGGTTTTGATCTGTATTTCCCTGATGCTGAGCAATATTGAGCATTTTCCTGTGTCTTTTGGCCATTTGTATGTCTTCTTTGGAGAAATGTCTGCTCATGTCTTCCACCCATTTCTTGACTGGATTTTTTATTTTCTGGGTATTGAGTTTGATAAGTTCTTTATAGGTTTTGGATACTATCCCTTTATCTGGTAAGTCATTTGTCAACTCTTTAGTTTTGTTGACTCTTGCTCTGCAAAAGCTTCTTATCCCAATGAAGTCCTAATAGTTAATTTTTGCTTTTGTTTCCCTTGACTTTGAAGACATGTCTAGCAACAAGTTGGGGTAACCAAGGTCAAAGAGGTTGCTGCCTACATTTTCTGATGTAAGATTCTGATGGATTTCTGTCTCACATTTAGGTCTTTCATCCATTTTGAGTTTATTTTTGTGTATAAAAATGTAAGAGAGTGGTTCAGTTTCATTCTTCTGCATGTGGCTGTTCAATTTTCCCAACACCATTTGTTGAAGAGACTATCTTTTTTCCAGTAGATATTCTTTCCTGCTTTGTGGAAGATTAGTTGGCATAGAATTGAGGGTCTATTTCTGGGTTCTCTATTCTGTTCCACTAATCTATGTGTCTGTTTTCATGCCAATACCATACTGTCTTGATGATCACAGCTTTGTAATACAGCTTGAAGGCCAGAATTGTGATGCCTCCAGCTTTGGTTTTCTTTTTCAACATTACTTTGGTTATATGGGGTCTTTTCTTTTTTTTATAATAAATTTATTTTTTATTGGTGTTCAATTTACCAACATACAGAATAACACCCAGTGCTCATCCCGTCAATTGCCCCCCTCAGTGCCCATCACCCATTCACCCCCACCCCCCGCCCTCCTCCCCTACCACCACCCCTAGTTCATTTCCCAGAGTTAGGAGTCTTTATGTTCTGTTTCTCTTTCTGATATTTCCCACACATTTCTTCTCCCTTCCCTTATATTCCCTTTCACTATTATTTATATTCCCCAAATGAATGAGAACATACCGTTTGTCCTTCTCCGATTTACTTACTTCACTCAGCATAATACCTTCCAGTTCCATCCACATTGAAGCAAATGGTGGGTATTTGTCATTTCTAATGGCTGAGTAATATTCCATTGTGTACATAGACCACATCTTCTTTATCCATTCATCTTTGGATGGACACCGAGGCTCCTTCCACAGTTTGGCTATTGTGGACATTGCTGCTATAAACATCGGGGTGCAGGTGTCCTGGCGTTTCATTGCATCTGAATCTTTGGGGTAAATCCCTAACAGTGCAATTGCTGGGTCGTAGGGCAGGTCTATTTTTAATTCTTTGAGGAACCTCCACACAGTTTTCCAGAGTGGCTGCACCAGTTCACATTCCCACCAACAGTGTAAGAGGGTTCCCTTTTCTCCGCATCCTCTCCAACATTTGTTGTTTCCTGCCTTATTAATTTTCCCCATTCTCACTGGTATGAGGTGGTATCTCATTGTGGTTTTGATTTGTATTTCCCTGATGGCAAGTGATGCAGAGCATTTTCTCATGTGCATGTTGGCCATGTCTATGTCTTCCTCTGTGAGATTTCTCTTTTCTGGTTCCATACAAATTTTAGGATAATTTGTTCCAACTCTGTGAAAAATACTGATGGTATTTTGACAAGGATTACACTGAATGTGTAAAATGCTCTGGGTAGCATAGAAATTTTACTAATATCTGTTCTTCAAGCTATGAGCATGGAATGTTTTTCCATCCTCAATGGGAAAAAAAAAACAGAGCTTTTCCCCTAAGGTCAGAAACATGACAGGGGTGCTCATTCTCACTGCTATTGTTCAACATAGTACTAGAAGTCTTAGCTTCAGCAATCAGACAACAGAAGGGAATAAAAGGCATCCAAATTGGCAAAGAAGTCAAACTTTCACTCTTCGTAGACCACATGATACTCTATATGGAAAATCCAAAAGAATTTATAGAATTGATTCATAAATTCAGCAAAGTCACAGGTTATAAAATCAATACATGTAAGTCAGTTCCATTTCTATACCCTAACACTGAGGCAGAAGAAAGAGAAATCAAGGAATTGATCCCATTTACAATTGCACCGAAAACTATAAGATACCTAGGAACAAACCCAACCAAAGAGCCAAAGAAACTGTATTCCAAAATTATAGAACACTCATGAAAGAAATTGAGGAAGACACAAAGAAATGGAAAAACATTCTGGCTTATCTCTTAACTCAGGCAAAGAGATGGAGGGCAGAGCATCCCATGGAGGGAATCAAAACTAACCCCTCAAATATCAGAAAGGGAGACAGAACATAAAGACTCCTAACTCTGGGAAACGAACTAGGGGTGGTGGAAGGGGAGGAGGGCGGGGGGTGGGGGTGAATGCGTGATGGGTACTGAGGGGGGCACTTGATGGGATGAGCACTGGGTATTATTCTGTATGTTGGTAAATTGAACACCAATAAAGAATAAATTTATTAAAAAAAAAACTAAACCCTCAAAAATAAATAAAAATAAAAAAACTAACCCCTCAAGCAATAAAGACCCCATGTGACTGACCTCAAAATGATGATCGACAACCGGATGATGATCGACCTGACCTTTACTGTCCAGCTGCATGTCCCCACCAACCTTTATCCCAAATTTTCCTTACATACACCTGGAAGTATTCTCAGTGCTCTGCAGATAGTCTTTGAGACATTAGTCCACTATCTTCCCAGTGTTGGCCTCCCTGAAATAAATCCCTTTCTTGTTTCACCACTGCTTGTGTCTCTGCCTTTGGATTTTGTCAGCAGTGAGTGGCAGAACCTGGTCTATTAGGGACTCTTGGAGCCAATATTTGAAATCACTTGCCTGCTAAATAATGCCTTTGTGTGGCTCCTCGGACCCCACCCTCTTGCCTTTCATGCCAGACACACTGGCTCAGCCTGGTTTGCATCTTCGAACCACTAAACTTTGGGATGCCTCTGGGCTGAGTCCTTCAATCTAGTTCTCCCTTCTGTATGTACTCACTCCTGGGTTTTCCTACACAGTTGTCATCTATCTAT